AAAGGCAAGGAATAAATGAAATTAAACTTAGTTTTTTTCATTGCTTTGAAATGGCAAAATATTAATTTCAAGAGTGTTCCAATGAGTCAAAGATACATAGAGAATTTAAAGAGCGATTATTTTCAAGCATTTCAGTCTCAGGACTGCTTTACCCTTTTTTTTTTTTTTTTTTTTTTTTGAAGCAGAGCTTTGCTCTTGTTGCCCAGGCTGGAGTGCAATGCCATGATCTCAGCTTGCTGCAACCTCTGCCTCCTGGGTTCAAGTGATTCTTCTGCCTCAGCCTCCCAAGTAGCTGGGATTATAGGCATGCGCCACCATGCCTGGCTAATTTTGTATTTTTAGTAGAGGTGGGGTTTCTCCATGTTGGTCAGGCTGGTGTCGAACTTCCGACCTTGGGTGATCCGCCCACCTCAGCCTCCCAAAGTGCTGGGATTACAGGTGTGAGCCACCATGCCCAGCCTGCTTTACACTTTTAAAAATTATTGAGGAACCCAAAGAGCTTTTTTATATAGGTTATATCTATTGATACGTACTGTACTTGAAATTAAAACGGGAAAAATTAAAAATATTTATTTTAAAAACTGGGCGGGCACAGTGGCTCATGCCTGTAATCCCAGCACGTTGGGAGGCCAAGGCAGGTGAATCACGAGGCCAGGAGATGGAGACTATCCTGGCTAACACAGTGAAACCGCATCTCTACTAAAAATACAAAAAATTAGCCGGGTGTGGTGGGATGCACCTCCCAGCTACTCAGGAGGCTAAGGCAGGAGAATTCCTTGAACCTGGGAGGCAGAGGTTGCAGTGAACCGAGATCGCACCATTGCACTCCAGCCTGGACGACAAGAGAGAAACTCCGTCTTAAAGAAAAAAAAAATCACTAGGAATGTGGAAAATTTGAAGAAAACTATTAACCAGCTTGATCTAATTAATATTTATAGACTATTAACATCTGATTGCAGAATTTTCAAGTGAAAATTCGTACTTTTGTGTTATTTTCAAGTGAATATGGAGCATTAACCAAAATATACCAGAGGCTGGGTCATAAAATAAGTCTCAACAAACTTCTAAGGATTAAAATAATATAGTGTGAAGCTAGGCATGGCAGCTGATCACCTGTAATCCCAGCACATTGGGAGGCCGAGGCACGTGGATCACTTGAGGTCAGGAGTTCGAGACCATCCTGGCTAACATGGTGAAACCCCGTCTCTACTAAAAATACAAAAAATTAGCAGGGTGTGGTGGCACACACCTGTAGTCCCAGCTACTTGGGAGGCTGAGGCAGAAGAATTGCTTGAGCCCAGGAGGCAGAGGTTGCAGTGAGCCAAGATCTCGCCACTGCACTCCACTCCAGCCTGGGCGAAAGGGTGAGACTCTGTCTCAAACAACAACAACAACAACAACAACAACAACAAAACCTGACATTTCAGTTGGCAAGGCTGAAAGTACCTGAAACAATCATACATTGTTGGTGGGTTGTAAAATGGTACAAATACTTTGGAAAACAACCAGCAGTTTCTTATAAAGTTTTACATATATTTATCATAGGAACTAGCAACTCCAAACCTAGAAATTGATGCAATATAAATGAAAAAAATATGTCTACACAAAAAGTTGTATATGACTGTTCATAGCAGATTTATTCATCATAACCCCAAACTGGAAACAACTGTCCATCATCGAGTGAGTTAATCAACTGTGGTCATATATTAATATAATGGTATGCTACTCGGCAATAAGAGAATGAAACACTGACACACACCAAATTAATGGATCTCAAAACTTTATACTGAGAGAAAGAAGGCAGACACAGGAGAGTATGCTGTATCATTCCATTTATATGAAAGTCTAGAAAAGATAATTCTAATCTATACTGACAAAAAGTAGATTTATGGTTTCTTGGAGTCAGAGGTGGGAAGTATTGTCTGGGAAAGAATACAGGAAATTTTGGGGTTGATGAAAATGTTGTTTGATTGTGGTGGTGGCTATACAGGTGTATAAGTTTGCCAAAATTTATCAAAATGTAAAGTTAAACTGGGTACAAATTATTTTATATAATTTATGTCTCAATAAAGGTGATAAAATCTATTTGAAACAGCTAAATAGGTACTTTAAAGAAATGTATAGTGTTAAACACAAATATTAGCAAAAAAGAATTGAACATTGCTTATCTAAGATTTCATTCCAAGAAGCTAGAAAAAAACCCCAGTAAATCACACCCAAATAAAATACATAGAAGAAAATAAAGGAGCATAAATTAGTAAAAAAGAAATTAGCTCTATAAAAGTAGGTGGGTTTTTTTTTTTTAAATTAAATGTTAAGTCCTAGAAAACCCAATCAAGAAAACAAAAAGAGAGTACATAAATTACCAACACCAGGACTGAAGAAGGGAACATCACTTTAGATCCTAAAGATATTAAAAACAGAACAGATACTATAAACCATTTAAAGCCAGTAATTAGATATTTTGGTGAAATTATATGGACATAATTTTTAAAAGATTTTACCAAAATGTACATGAGATAAAAAATCTGATTAATCCTATGTCTATCAAATCATTGAATACATAGTTAAAATTTTTCCAACAAAAATTTTCCAACAAAAATTACTCTGGTAATTTTTACACACAAAATTATAGCAAATAACACCAAAACCAATAATACCAATCTTACACATCTTACCCACACTCTTCCAGAGGACCAAAAACAAACAAACAAAAAACCAAAAACAAAATAAAGGGAATCCTCAACTCATGTTATGAGTCCATAATTCTGATACAAAGTCAAACAAGGTTATTATAAGAAAGAAAACACAGAAAATATGGACATAGACACAAAATCCTATACAAAATTTTGACAAATTTAATTCAATAGCATATTAAAAATATTACCCACAATGACCAAATGAAATCTATTCCAGGAATGCAAATTGCTTTAATATCGAAAAATCAATTTGTATAGATGAATCTTGAGGACATTATGCTAAGGGAAATAAGCCAGTTACCAAAGGACAAATACTGTATGATTCTACTTATACGAGGTATCTAGAGCAGTCAAATTCATAGAGACAGAAAGTAGGATGGTGGTTTCCAGGGTTTAGGGGGTGAAGTGGGGAATGGAGAGTCATTGTTTAATGGGTATTCAGTTTCAGCTTTCTAAGATGAAACAGATTCTGGAGATGGATAGTTGCACAATATGACTTAATAGCACTGAACTGTACACATAATAATGGCTAGGATTATAAATTTTATGTGTATTTTATGACAATTTTTAAATGTTTAAAATCAAACCACATCATTTAAACACATTAACAGAATGAAAAACTATAAGCATCTCAATAGTGGCAAAAAATGTATTTGATGAAATTCTACACCCATCCTGATAACAAACCTCAGAAAAGTCATTTGAGTGATAGAGACTATCTAAAATTTACACTTCAAGTCATACCAAATGGTAAAATGTTTTGTTTTCCTTTAGATTCTGGGAAAAAGGCAAGGATGTCTACAAATCCTATTTCTGGAGGTCCTAGCCAGTGCAATAAAGCAAGAAAAAAGTGGTATAAAGATTATAAAGAATGATGTAAAACTGACTTTACTACAGATGACATACTGTGTACACAGAAAGTCAAAAAAATGAACGATTATAAATAAGTGAATTTAGCAAGGTCACTGGATATAAGATCAACTTTAAAAATCTATTCCATATATATATATGATATACCGTATACCTATACTGTGGCAACAATCAGAAAATGAAATTAAAATAATAGCATTTATACCATCAACAACGTCAAATACATAGTACTAATCTAACAAAACTTCTACAATTGAAAAAATACAGTAACTTCTATAATTGAAAAAATTGCAAAACATTGCAAAAATATAAAAATTGGTGAAATTTTGAGGTCAGTTCCGGAGGCGGGTGGATCACTTGAAGTCAGGAGTTCAAGACCAGCCTAGCCAACATGGGGAAATCCCATCTCTACTAAAAAAATACAAAAAATTAGCCAGGCGTGGTGGCAGGCACCTGTAATCCCAGCTACTCAGGAGTCTGAGGTTGCAGTGAGCCGAGATTGTGCCACTGCACTCCAGCCTGGGTGACAAAGCAAGGCTCCATCTCAAAAAAAACAAAAACAAAAACAAAAAACAAAACCCCCAAATGTTTAAAGTATCTATATAAATGAAATGTTTTGGAATACTCATAAATGTCTCAGTATTAATGTTCATACATTCATTTTTCCAGAATTAATCTATGTATCTGATGTAATGCCAACAAAATCCTAGCTTTTTGGTATGGGGTAATTGAAAAAAAAAAATCATTCAACAATGTATATGAAAATGCCAAGGACCTAAAATAGTGACAATTTTGAACAAGAACAAAATTAGAAAACATACAGTTGACCCGTGAGCACAGGTTTTAACTGTGTGGGACCACTTATACATGGGTTTACTTCTACCTCTGCCACCTGAGACAGCAAGACCAACCCCTCCTCTTCTTCCTCCACCTTAGCCTGCTCAACGTGAAGACGATGAGGATAAAGATCTTGATGATGATCCACTTCTACCTAATGAATAGTAAATATTATTTTCTCTTCCTTATGATTTTCTTAATCATATTTTTTCTCTAGCTTATGTAAGAATACAGTACATAATACATATACAAAATATGTTAATTGACTGTTTATGTTATTGATAAGGCTTCTAGTCAAATGTAGGTTATTAGTAGTTAAGTTTTTGAGGTCAAAAGTTGTACAATGATACTTGATTGTGTGAGGGCTCAGTTCCCCTAATCCCCGAATTGTTCAAAGGTCAACTGTACTATCAGTTTTCATTTAAAATACTTGGTATTATTACAATAATAAACGCACAGAACAATGAAACATAGTCCAAAAGACCCTAACATGCATGATCATCGGATTTATCATAAATGTTCAACTGCAAAACAAGGGAGAGAGAGAAAGATGGCCTTTTCAATAAATGATGTGGAACAAATTGCTTATTTGTATGAAAAATATTTTGACCTCTACTCCATACCACACATAAATATTAATTTCAGATGGATCATACGCATTAAATAGTAGATATGTGGAAGAGAATGTAGAAAAACATCTTTATGACCTTGAGTTAGGAAAATATTTCTTAAACTGGGCAAAAAAGCACTAATCAAAAGAAAAGTTATTCTTTATCAAAATTTAGAACTTCTGTTCATCAAAGGACATCATTTGGAGAGTGAAAAGGTAAGCTGCAGATGAGATATTTGTAATACAGACATCTAAAAAACACCCGTCTCCAGAATATATAAAGAATCCTACAAATGAGCAAATATCAGTTCCCACTAAAAAATGGCAAAAGTCTTGAGGTACTTCTCAAAGAAGATATTTAAAAAGCCAACACATATCGAAAGGGGGGCTCAACAGCATTATCCATTGAGGAAATGCAAATTAAAGCCATAATGGAATAGCGGCATGCACAAGAGCCAGGCCCTGGGAGCTCACGGTGCCACTGAAACTGCTCTCATCAGGTTGGTGTGGGTTATCTCCAGCCCCTTACCCAATGGATACTTTTCAGTTCTTTTGTCATTTGAATCTGCTGACCATGTTCCTCTTCTTGAAGCGCTTCCCTCTAAGGCAGGAATGGGAGGAAGGGTTTAGATGTAGTGAAGATTTGGAGGCAGAATGGAGGGACCAACAGAGTTGCATTATGACATGTCAACTCTGTGACAGCAGAGCTTCTTAAAGGTCTCTCAAACTTTTCATTCAGAAAGTGGCACATTAACTATCCTCAATGAGGACGGGTCTCTTAGTAATAGTTAATAGGCTTCACTATTAAACCTCAATCAAAAATGGTCATTTTAACCAGAATGTCAAACTGTTCATTCATGATGGAAGATAATTCACATCATTCATCCTTTACCTCCTTCCCAATGTTAAATACATATTTACCCTGGCATCGTGAAATAGGTATTTGATTTTCTTAGCCTCCCTGAAGTGTAACTCATCATGCCTTGCTCTTTTTGGATGTCAGGTCTTTGGTCTGTTAAGGGCTTTCTGGTATTAGGGACACAGCTTCTGGGTTCCCATTGTTACCCTAGGCCCCTCCTAGCAGAAGTATTTCATAGTGTTCCCAGAACTTCCAAGTCCTCATTTATAGACTTGGGAGTTATTGGCTATTTTCTCTCCCTACACTTCATCATGAAAAGTTCAGAGGCTTTACATAGCCTCTTCCATAAAGACACCTGCTGTTGCCATTATGACCTTTTCTTTGGTGGCATGTTGAAAGTGGAACTTCTTTCTGAGGCTTGTGGTCTTCTGGTCTACAGCCTGGGCAGAAGTTCCACATATTCTTGGACATATTTTTCATCTATCTGGAATTTCTATCACCTCCTACAAAGGAAACTCAGTGGGTGGTAGGAATAAGGTGCTAAGTAACTTTTTTTTTGGAATTTAGGTAACATCAGAACCAACTTCCATGCTCTCATATGCATGAGCACCTCTCCCCCTCATTGTACATCTGGCACTGAGGGTAGGTCCTGGCACATTGAAGGTGCCCAATAAATAAAATGCACAACAAAAAGATTTTTCCTTTTTATGTAAATATTACAGGTTCATTGCAAAGAAAAAAATTAACTTAAGAACACAGAAAAGAAAGTAAAAAACAAAAAAATCTGATACTCCACTAAAACAGAAATAACCATCATAAATTTTTTGGAGACCATCCTTTCATTCATCTCTCTCAAAAGTTCACATAAATACATAATATTACATATATAGTTTCATACCATACATGCAGCATTTACATTTTTCTGTTTTTATAGTCTCCCCTCCCCTTATTGCTAATTCTCCTTTTTTCACTCCCCTCAAGGTAATCAATATTAACAGCCTGGTGTATATTCTTCCATACCTGTCTCCATGTGCATCTAACCACACACACATAAATACAAAATAAATGGGTGTGATTATTTTAACAAAAATGATATATTGTATATATACATTTCTGTTATAAAGCAATTATTTATCAATACATTGTGGAAATACAGTGAAATCAGCTAGTATAGATATAGTTCATTTTTAAAATTACTCTCACACTGTTCCATAATAAGGATATGTCAGAATTTATCTAACCATTTCTCTATTAATAGGCATTCATTTGTTTGCAGTTGGGGCTTTGCCCCCCTCTACAAACAATACTTCAACAAACATGTTTATTTATATTCTTATGCATTGATGCTGCTTTTATTTCTATGGGACAGATCCCAAAAGTGAGACTGCTGGGTCTAAGAGTATATATGTTTTAAACTTTTCAATATATATTATTGGACTGCTGGTGGAAGTATGTTATATAACCTTTAGGTAATAGTACATGGTTTCCCAAACCCCAATGGCAAAAGATCTCTTAATTTCTGCCAAATCCATGAAGGGGAAGTTTCATCTCATTGAGCATTTCAATTTGCATTTCCCTGAGTAATTTTGAGGTTCAAAATCTTTTCATAGGATAATGATCACCTACAGTTGCTCTCCTATGAAGAACCATCCAGTCCAGAGGAATTAAAGACTTAAGTGTAAAAAATAAAATCATAAAAATCTTAAAAATAAATTTAGGATACTATGTATAACCTGGAATTAAGGAGATCTCTTTTCAGTAAAATGAGTCAATAAAAAATCTAAAAAGGAAATGATATATTTTCCTATAAAAATGTTGTGCCATTACCATAAAGTATAAAGACAAATGCTAGATTAAGAAAAACATCTGCTACATAATGAAAAAGGATTAATATCTAAAATATATAAAAAGCACCTCCAGGTTTATAAGACAGATAAATGAATAGAAAAATAGGCGAATACATATATAGGCAATTAACTAATGATAATTTGTTAAATGAGTAAAGTATGAAATCTGGATGAAGGCTTTCATTTGTTCATTATTTTCCTCTAGTGAGAGTTTCCTTATAACTTCTAAGATTTAATGTTATTAAATGATTTCCCACATAATTGTTTATAGTTTCTCTATATACTTTCTGATGAATTCCTAATGAAGATTTTCCTATATTCATAAAATACAGTTTATAAGATTCATCTTGTGGAGTTGACATCTAGGTGAATGACTTATTGTTCTTTATATTAACTTACTTTCTCTCTGATGTATTATTTGATGTACAGTAAGGCTTGAACTACTCCTGAAGGCTTTTCCACATTCATTACATTTATAGGGTTTTTCTCCAGTATGCATCCTCAAGTGTACAGTAAAGTCTGAGTTAGTTCTGAAGGCTTTTCCACATTCTTCACATTTATAGGGCCTCTCCCCAGTATGAATTCTCTGATGTAGGGTTAGCTGTGATAGAGTAATACAACCCTTTCCACATTCCTTACAGGTGTAGGGTTTTTCTCCAGTGTGTGTTCTCCAATGCACTGTAAGGTAAGAACCCCTCCTGAAGGCTTTTCCACAGACATCACACTTATAGGGCTTCTCTCCACTATGGATTTTCTGATGTTCTGTGACATGTACCATCTGGCTAAATGCTTTCCCACAGTCATTACATTTAAATGGTTTCTCTCCAGTATGTGTTCTTTGATGTGTATTAAAGCCTGAGTTACTTGTGAAAACCTTTCCACATTCATTACATTTATAGGGCTTCTCTCCAGTATGCCTTCGTTGGTGCACAGTAAGCTGTGATGTATTAGTGAAGGCTTTCTCACATTCATTACATTTATATGGTTTTTCCCCAGTATGGGTCCTCTGATGTACAATAAGGTATGATTTAGTCCTAAAGGACTTTCCACAGTCATAACATTTATAGGGTTTCACTCCAGTATGAATTTTCTGATGCTCCTTGAGATGTACCATTTTGGTGAAGGCCCTCCCGCAGTCAGTACATGTATATGGTTTCTCTCCAGTGTGAATTCTCTGATGTACAGTTAAGTGTGATTTTATTCTGAAAGACTCCCCACATTCATTGCACAGGTAAGGTTTCTCTTCAGTATGAATACGCTGATGTAGAATTAGAGAATAAGAACGCATGAAGGCCTTTCCACATTCATTACATTTATAAGGTTTCTCTCCTGTATGCATTCTGTGGTGTACAGTAAGGCATGAATAATTAATGAATGCTTTCCCACATTCATTACATTTATAGGGTTTTTCTCCTGTGTGAATTCGCTGATGTTCTGTGAAATTTGCAATGCGGTTGAATGCTTTCCCACATTCATTACATTCATAGGGTTTTTCCCCACTGTGAGTTCTTATATGTACGATAAGGCTTGAATTACTTCTATAGGCTTTTCCACATTCATTACATCTAAAAGGTTTCTCTCCAGTATGAATCCTCTGATGCACATTAAAAATTGTGGTGTTCTTAAAAGACTTCCCACACTCATTGCACTGATACGGTTTCTCTTCAGTGTGGGTCTTCTGATGTACACTAAGATATGACTTGTTCCTAAAGGCTTTCCCACAGTCATCACATTTGCAGGGTTTCTCACCATTGTGAGTTTCCTGATGTCTTGCAAGTTTTGATTTATCACTAAAAGCTTTCCCGCATTCATTACATTTATAGGGTTTCTCCCCAGTATGAATTCTCTGATGTAGGGTTAGCTGTGATAGAGTAATACAACCCTTTCCACATTCCTTACAGGTGTAGGGTTTTTCTCCAGTGTGTGTTCTCCAATGCACTGTAAGGTAAGAACCCCTCCTGAAGGCTTTTCCACAGACATCACACTTATAGGGCTTCTCTCCACTATGGATTTTCTGATGTTCTGTGACATGTACCATCTGGCTAAATGCTTTCCCACAGTCATTACATTTAAATGGTTTCTCTCCAGTATGTGTTCTTTGATGTGTATTAAAGCCTGAGTTACTTGTGAAAACCTTTCCACATTCATTACATTTATAGGGCTTCTCTCCAGTATGACTTCGTTGGTGCACAGTAAGCTGTGATGTATTAGTGAAGGCTTTCTCACATTCATTACATTTATATGGTTTTTCCCCAGTATGGGTCCTCTGATGTACAATAAGGTATGATTTAGTCCTAAAGGACTTTCCACAGTCATAACATTTATAGGGTTTCACTCCAGTATGAATTTTCTGATGCTCCTTGAGATGTACCATTTTGGTGAAGGCCCTCCCGCAGTCAGTACATGTATATGGTTTCTCTCCAGTGTGAATTCTCTGATGTACAGTTAAGTGTGATTTTATTCTGAAAGACTCCCCACATTCATTGCACAGGTAAGGTTTCTCTTCAGTATGAATACGCTGATGTAGAATTAGAGAATAAGAACGCATGAAGGCCTTTCCACATTCATTACATTTATAAGGTTTCTCTCCTGTATGCATTCTGTGGTGTACAGTAAGGCATGAATAATTAATGAATGCTTTCCCACATTCATTACATTTATAGGGTTTTTCTCCTGTGTGAATTCGCTGATGTTCTGTGAAATTTGCAATGCGGTTGAATGCTTTCCCACATTCATTACATTCATAGGGTTTTTCCCCAGTGTGAGTTCTTATATGTACAATAAGGCTTGAATTACTTCTATAGGCTTTTCCACATTCATTACATCTAAAAGGTTTCTCTCCAGTATGAATCCTCTGATGCACATTAAAAATTGTGGTGTTCTTAAAAGACTTCCCACACTCATTGCACTGATACGGTTTCTCTTCAGTGTGGGTCTTCTGATGTACACTAAGATATGACTTGTTCCTAAAGGCTTTCCCACAGTCATCACATTTGCAGGGTTTCTCACCATTGTGAGTTTCCTGATGTCTTGCAAGTTTTGATTTATCACTAAAAGCTTTCCCGCATTCATTACATTTATAGGGTTTCTCCCCAGTATGAATTCTCTGATGTAGGGTTAGCTGTGATAGAGTAATACAACCCTTTCCACATTCCTTACAGGTGTAGGGTTTTTCTCCAGTGTGTGTTCTCCAATGCACTGTAAGGTAAGAACCCCTCCTGAAGGCTTTTCCACAGACATCACACTTATAGGGCTTCTCTCCACTATGGATTTTCTGATGTTCTGTGACATGTACCATCTGGCTAAATGCTTTCCCACAGTCATTACATTTAAATGGTTTCTCTCCAGTATGTGTTCTTTGATGTATATTAAAGCCTGAGTTACTTGTGAAAACCTTTCCACATTCATTACATTTATAGGGCTTCTCTCCAGTATGACTTCGTTGGTGCACAGTAAGCTGTGATGTATTAGTGAAGGCTTTCTCACATTCATTACATTTATATGGTTTTTCCCCAGTATGGGTCCTCTGATGTACAATAAGGTATGATTTAGTCCTAAAGGACTTTCCACAGTCATAACATTTATAGGGTTTCACTCCAGTATGAATTTTCTGATGCTCCTTGAGATGTACCATTCTGGTGAAGGCCCTCTCGCAGTCAGTACATTTATATGGTTTCTCTCCAGTGTGAATTCTCTGATGTACAGTTAAGTATGATTTTATTCTGAAAGACTCCCCACATTCATTGCACAGGTAAGGTTTCTCTTCAGTATGAATACGCTGATGTAGAATTAGAGAATAAGAACGCATGAAGGCCTTTCCACATTCATTACATTTATAAGGTTTCTCTCCTGTATGCATTCTGTGGTGTACAGTAAGGCATGAATAATTAATGAATGCTTTCCCACATTCATTACATTTATAGGGTTTTTCTCCTGTGTGAATTCGCTGATGTTCTGTGAAATTTGCAATGCGGTTGAATGCTTTCCCACATTCATTACATTCATAGGGTTTTTCCCCACTGTGAGTTCTTATATGTATGATAAGGCTTGAATTACTTCTATAGGCTTTTCCACATTCATTACATCTAAAAGGTTTCTCTCCAGTATGAATCCTCTGATGCACATTAAAAATTGTGGTGTTCTTAAAAGAATTCCCACACTCATTGCACTGATACGGTTTCTCTTCAGTGTGGGTCTTCTGACGTACACTAAGATATGACTTGTTCCTAAAGGCTTTCCCACAATCATCACATTTGTAGGGTTTCTCACCATCGTGAGTTTCCTGATGTCTTGAAAGTTTTGATTTATCACTAAAAGCTTTCCCACATTCATTACATTTATAGGGTTTCTCTCCAGTTTGAATTCTCTGGTGCTGATTAAGACGGGCACACTGGCTAAAAGATTTCCCACACACATTACACTGATAAGGTTTCTCTTTAGTGTGAATTCTCTGATGTACCATAAGTGACGAGGAAGCAATGAAGGCCTTTCCACATTCATTACATTTATAGGGTTTTTCTCCAGTGTGGATTTTTTTGTGCTGACTGAGATATGAAGGCTGGCTGAATGTTTTCCCACATTCATTACATTCATAAGGTTTTTCTTTAGTATGAGTTCTTTGATGTTGAATGAGCAATGACCTATAACGAAAGGCCTTTTCGCATGTACCACATTTGTAGGGTTTTTCCCTATTATTGGATTTTTTCCCCAAAGTAAGTTCTGAAGTCTGCCTTATGGCTTTGCTGCCTTTCATCTCCTTGCAAATTATCTTCCCCAAACGGGTATCTGTAACCAAATTTAAATTCTCTGTGAAATTTTCCTCTTGTGTTTGGCATCTGCTGTGAAGCTCTTCGGTGGCAATGCCTGGTTCTGGAATAAGAACAGATTCAAATCTAAAGCCTCTTTGACTAGTGGGAGTCTTCTTGAGTGGAATTATTCTTTGACTCAAATGATTCTCCTGATTATTTTGTAATCTCAATATCCTATCATTCCATTTCCATAACCCTTCCACTCTGGAATCCCACAGACCATTCTCCGTAAGTTTCTCTAGTACGGCATCCTGTGATAAATCTTCAGAAATATCCTTTGTTTGTGTAGCATTCTTGGTTGCAGGTTTGGGCTCCATGTCTGGAATAAAAAAGAGATAAATCAAGTAATTCCTTTCTTAAGCTGGAGCAATCTCACTAAAGAGAACAATAAAAATAATAAATACATGGATAATGAATATATGGTTTTAATTGCTTTCACACTTGTTTTCTAGTGAGAAGAAGGTAGGGTTAAGGGAGGCTGGTTTAGCAAAAACGAAAGTAGAAAATTCACTGAAACTTTCCTGTTAAAAAAGTCCATTCAGCTAGGCACAGTGGCTCATGCCTATAATCTCAGCACTTGGGAGGCCAAGGTGAGAGAATTGCTTGAGTTCAGGAGTTTGAGACCAGTCTGGGCAATACAGCAAAACACTGTCTCTACAAAAAAAATACAAAAATTAGCCAGGCATGATAGTGTGCACCTGTAGTCCCAGTTACTTGTGACGCTGAGGTGGGAGGATTGCTTGATTCCAGGAGGTGGAGGTTGCAGTGAGCCAAGATTGTGTCACTACACTCTACCCTGGGTGACAGAGCAAGACTGACTCAAAAAAAAAAAAACAGTGTTGCAGGAAGTCAGGGACCTCTAATGGAGGGACTGACTGAAGCCCTGGCAGAATGTGAAGATTTCATGGACATTTATCACTTCCCCAACCAATACTTTTGTGATTTCCTATGCCTGTCTTTAATCTCTTAATCCCACCATCTTCGTAAGCTGAGGATAAATGTTGCCTCAGGACCTTGTGATGATTGTGTTAACTGCACAAATTGTTTACAGAGCATGTGTGTTTGAACAATATCAAATCTAGGCACCTTAAGAACAGGATAACAGCGATTTTCAAGGAACAGGGGAGAGAACCTTAAAGTCTGGCTGCCTGTAGGCTGGGCAGGACAGAGCCATATTTCTCTTATTACTGAAAACAGGTAAGAGAAGTATCGCTGAATTCTTTCCCCAGTAAGGAATATTAATAATTAACAGCCCTGGGAAAAGAATACATTCCCAGGGAAGGCCTCTGAAATGGCCTCCCTGGGAGTGTCTGCCTTTATGCAGATGTAGATAGGGATGAAACATGCCCTAGTCTCCTGCAGCACCCCTGGCTTGCTAGGATGAGGAAATTCCAGCCTGGCAAATTCTAGTCAGACCGGTTCTCTACTCTTGAACCCTGTCAAAATGTTTATCAATGACAATGTGTACACAGCAGGACACAGAAGTTCATTAGTGATTCTAGTTTCGCCCTGACCTTGTGATCTCACCCTGACTTCCTGCCTTGTGATCTTTTGTTGCCCTTAAGCATGTGATCTCCGTGACCCACACTCTATTCGTACACTCCCTCCCCTTTTGAAAATCACTAATAAAAACTTGCTCATTTTGCAGCTTAGGGGGCATCACGGAACCTGCTGACATGTGATGTCTCCCCCAGACACCCAGCTTTAAAATTTCTCTCTTTTGTACTCTTTCCCTTTATTTCTCAGACTGGCCGACACTTAAAGAAATAGAAAAGAACCCACGTCAAATTATCGGGGGCAGGTTCCCCCAATAAAAAAGTCCATTTGTGATTTAGACCCAACTATTTTAGATGGTATTCTTCAACTTTTGACAAGCTCAAACACTGTCATACTCTCCTGCTATTTACTCCACAAACCAGACATTAGTTCCCAACCATACTTTCTATTTGTCTTTTTTTTTTTTTTTTTTTTTTGAGACAGAGTCTTGCTGTGACACCCAGGCTAGAGTTCAATGGTGCGATCTCGGCTCACTGCAACCTCCGCCTCCTGGGTTCAAGCAATTCTCCTGTCTCAGTCTCCTGAGTAGGTGGGACAACAGGCATGTGCCACCACGCCCAGCTGATTTGTGTATTTTTAGTAAAGATGGGGTTTTGCCATGTTGGCCAGGCTGGTCTTGAACTCCTGACCTCAGGTGATCCACCCACCTCAGCCTCCCAAAGTGCTGGGATTACAGGCATGAGCCACCATGCTTGGCCTCTATTTGTTCTCATTCTTGATTGACTAGCTTTGTTGTGAGGGCTTTCTCAAATTTCACCAGCAGAATAGTTTATTCAAGTCTTTGTATATACCTTTTAATAAAACTTTTATGGAAAAAAACACTGATTTTCAAAAAGAGCTAAACAATAAACTAATCAAAAGTTAATATTTATACTTACTATTTCATATAGTGATAATTATTTAATTAAGGGTAGATTTAACAACGTTTTTATGGCCCTAAGAACTTTTCTGCTAGTTTGTCAAAAATTCATTAAAAATTACACTGTGGGATACTGGTCTTATAATGTGTTTGTGTATGCAATTTAATATTTTATTTTTAAGACACTTCAATGCTTTTTAAAACTTCTAATTCATTTTCAGGTAATTATGCCTCAATGTTTAAATATAAGTTCAATAAAAGCTCTTGTTGATGGTAGAATGGTTTTATGACTTTTTTTTTTTTTTTTTTTTTTTGAGGCAGTGTCACTCTGTTGCCCAGGCTGGAATACAGTGGCACGATCTCAGTTCACTGCAACCTCCACCTCCTGGGTTCAAGCGATTCCTGTGCTTCAGCTTCTGAAGTAGTTGGAATTACAGGCATGCACCACCACACCCAGCTAATTTTTCTTATTTTTAGTAGAGAAAGTATTTTGCTGTGTTGGCCAGGATGGTCTCCAACTCCTGGCCTCAAGTGATCCACCCTCCTCGGCCTTCCAAAGTGCTGGGGTTACAGATGTGAGCCACTGTGCCCAGCCAATTTGATGATTTTAAAACTCATTTTTAAACAGTATGATTTGTCTACGTTATTTTACTTTTATAACATTTAAATTAATATTTTGTTATGTTGTTGCTATTTATCACTCTTACTTTTAAATAGTTTTAATTAGTTTGAGCATATTTTTTGCTGTCATAGGATATTATATTGCCAATATCTGATAAAAGAAAACAAAACTTTTGTTGTCAGAAAAAAAGCTATAAGGCTGAGTGTGGTGGCTCATGCCTGTAATCCCAGCACTTTGGGAGGCTGAGGCAGGAAGATTACTTGAGCCCAGGAGTTTAAGACCAGCTTTGGCAACACAGTGAGACCCCATCTCTACAAAAAATTAAAAATGAGCTTGGCATGGTGGCACACACTTGTAGTCCTAAATATTTGGAAGGCTAAAGCTGGAGGATCCCTGAAGCCCAGGAGGTTGAAGCTACAGTAAGCTATGATCTACACTGCACTACAGCCTGGGTGACAAAGTGAAACCCTGTCTCAAATAAATAAATAAAAGAAGGCCAGGCATGGTGGCTCATGCCTGTAATCCCAGCACTTTGGGAGGCCGAGGTGGGCAGATCACCTGGGGTCAGGGGTTCGAGACCAGCCTGGCCAACATGGTGAAACCCCACCTCAACACAAAAATTAGCTGGGTGTGGTGGCACACGCTTGTAATCCCAGCTACTCAGGAGGCTGAGGAAGGAAAATTGCTTGAACCTGGTCAGGAGGTCAGGAGACGGAGGTTGTAGGGAGCCGGGACTGCACCACTGCACTCCAGCCTGGGTGACAGAGCAACACTCCATCTTAAATAAATAAATAAATAAATAAATAAATAAAATAAAATAAAAGAAGAAGAAAAGCTATAGAAAACATGTGTAGCACCAATTTGGAATTCAGAAACTAATAATAAATGTAAAAGGCCAAAAGAATATGAAGTTGGAAAGCAGAAAAATAATGAAAAACTTGCAAACATTAGAAAAGGAGACATCCAGGATAGGGTGAAAAGGTCTATCACAGATGTAACCAGAGTCCTAGAAGGTTAAAAAGAGAAGTGAGAGAGAATGGACAGAAGCTAAGTCAAAGAAACAATGTATTAGAATTTTCCACAACAGATAAAAAAAAAAAATCAAGTCACAAATCATAGAAGCCAAATGAATCTTCAGCATGAGAAAGATGAAGAAAACTATACTAAAGTATACAGTAGTAAAACCACTGAAAACTAAACTCTTAAAAGCAGCCAAAAAAAGAGAGACAGGGCCAGGAACGGTGGCTTATGCCTGTAATCCCAGCACTTTCGGAGGCCAAGGTGGGCGGATCACCTGAGGTCAGGACTTCGAGATCAGCCTGGCCAATACAGTGAGACCCCGTCTCTACCAAAAATACAAAAATTAGCTGAGCATGGTGGTAGGTGCCTGTAGTCCCAGCTACTCAGGAGGCTGAGGCAGGAGAATCACTTGAACCCGGGAGGCAGAGTTTGCAGTGAGCTGAGATCACGCCACTGTACGCCAGCCTGGGCGACAGAGCAAGACTCCATCTCAAAAAAAAAAAAAAAAAAAAGAGACAAGAGATATCCGGTTTTGTTTTTTGTTTTTGTTTTTAAAAAAAACAGAGTCTTGCTCTGTCACCCAGGTTGGAGTGCAGTGGATAGGATTACAGGTGGGTGCCACAATGCCCGGCTAATTTTTGTATTTTTAGTAGAGATGGGATTTTGCCATGTTTCCCAGGCTTGTCGTGAACGCCTGACCCCAAGTGATCCACCCACCTCGGCCTCCCAACACCTGGTCAAAGACAGATGTCCTTTAACGAGCAACAATTAGATCAGCGGTTACAAATTATAACCAATTTGGCCCACTGTCTGTTTCTGTATAGCCAGCAAGATAAGAATGATTTTTTGGCCGGGCGCGGTGGCTCAAGCCTGTAATCCCAGCACTTTGGGAGGCCGAGACGGGCGGATCACGAGGTCAGCAGATCGAGACCATCCTGGCCAACACGGTGAAACCCCGTCTCTACTAAAATAATACAAAAAATTAGGCGGGCGCCTGTAGTCCCAGCTCCTCCGGAGGCTGAGGCAGCGTAAACCCGGGAGGCGGAGCTTGCAGTGAATTGAGATCCGGCCACTGCACTCCAGCCCGGACAATAGAGCGAGTCTCTGTCTCAAAAAAAAAAAAAAAAAAAGAATGATTTTTTATATTTTATTTATTTATTTACTTTCTTACTTATTTTGAGACCGAGTCTTACTCTGTCACCCAGGCTGGCGTGCAGTGGGCAATCTCAGCTCACTACAACCTCCGCCTCCTGGGTTCAAG